CCACCTGACGGTATACGCCGCGGTACGCGCGCAACAGGTTAAACGCCGAAGCGGGGTTCAACCTTGTGGTATGCAAAGCATACAGAATGAGGGACACGTTTGATGCAAATTCTCTGCATGTAAACGTCCGGTGCGGTTGTCGCACCAGGCCCAGCTTCAGTTTTGACACCGTCTTAATCGAGTTTCGCACCTTTCGCTCACCCTCCAACCAAGTAAACTCCTCACCAAGGAAAACAGTTGTCTTGGTAGCTTCTGCCAACATCACGCTGTCTGTCCACGAACGTAGTTCTTCACGACTGGGGGACGTGCATAGGTTTGCAACCTCCATACGGTCCACGATCTGCCGCACCGTACGCACAAACTCTGTCTCCTCTCCCGCTGGCGCGGCAATCAGGATATTGTCGATCATGGTGAGTATGACACACCGCGTGTCAATGTCGACAATTGTCCATGTCACCGCCTGTCCAACCGCGACGCTCCATCGTGCTCCGGTCGGTAGCGTGCGAAGTCGGTAGAGTGCGCCATCTCGCGCCCGAAATACGAACTTGTTGCGCAGCCCTTCCTCCATCAATGGAATGGAATCGTAAAACGCCTCAAAATCAATCTGAAGCATGTATCGTGCGTAGCGCAGCTTCTGCCGTCTTTCAAGGCGCGAAGGGTACTCACACCGAGGTATCTCCGCCTTGGAGATCACGCCGTTGAGGTGGGGCTCGGTGATGAGGCGTCGTCGTCCTTTCATCTCGGCGACCGTGAACACATTCACGCCGTGGAAACCCACCGGGAGACGACCATTGTTGCGATGCTCAGGGTGAGCGTCGTCACGATGTCCGGGTGTCGTATGATTTTGTGCGGTTATGCTGATGTCATGGCGGTCGGTGGGTGCAGGGTCCCTGCTTTCCGTCTGTAGCTGCGCGATTGTGTCCGGTGAAAAGGAGTAGTGGGGGGCAACAACAACGTTCGGTACGAGTTCAAACTTGCCCATCTCGACTGCTCTCTGTATGTCGGTCATCGCGAGCTGTGTCTTCTTTATGGTGCGAGATGTGAGCAGGCCGTCGAAAAGGTTGGCCGTCATGAAGCGCAGTGCGCGCTCCAGGAAGTCTTTGGTGGCTGTATGCGCTGTGGGCATTCTGCGGACGGCCTCAATATTGAGTGGCGTGGTGTCTTTCAAATGGAGTGGCCAAACCGCAGTGTCTTGGATAGTTCCGTTGATCGTATCAACCACATGGGGCGGAAATTCCTTTCCTTCTGCTCGCAATATCTCGGCGTACAACGTGACGTCGTTGAGTCCAAGTTCGCGGGCATTCGGAGCCTTGTTGCCTAGGAACTCGGCTCGCGGAGGGCAAGGGCGGCGCCGCAAACAAAAGCGTAACCACCCGCGGCACAAGTAGAAAACACAAATCGTGACGGCAAACCCCCGGCCGGCGCGTCCGACACTCCCCAAAAATATGGGGGTGGGAGCCCGGCCCCGTCACACGGACAAGTTCGGGACGGCCTGGGACACCGCCTGACCCCACCAAGGCGGAGCAGCACAACGACACAGAGGCTACGAACGACCAAAAGAAGAATAACAACTAATAGAACACCAAAATAGCGGAGGCGCAACTATTGTAGGGGCCGCTTGCTTCGACCAGAAAACCGCCACCCCACCCCGGCACCACCAGCCGGCCAAAGTTGTGACAGACGGCGGCGGCGACGCCACCAGGCCGGCACAACCCAAAACACCGGAACAACCCAACACCTGCAAGGGTTAGCTTGTGTGCGAAAATGTGCCCCAATACCGCCGTAACGAGGCCCAGTAGAGCACGGAGGCTGGAAACGCACGGCACTCGCAAAACTGAAAATTCACCCCTGGGGGGTGGGGCTGGGAGGGGAGCCCCGGGAACACCACCAAGAACAAAATGTGTTCAACTGCGGTGGTGTTGGGTACGACCATACTTGGCCGAATGCAACATATCCCGTCCGATTTGTGAAGTTAAGCGGCCACGGGCCTCGTTAGTACGGCGGTCAGTGATGGCGCTGGAACCCGGGGTGCCGTACCCTCCTCAACTTTTTTTTTGCCAACATCTTGGGGTAGGTGCCTCGGCTCTGGGGTGACCCATTTCCCGCCTTTGGCAATGACGGCTGCCTTCCCGCGGTTGCCAGGCCAGCGCTTTAATGCATTCAGGAAATCCAAACATACCTCACCCATTGTTGTGGTGGGGGTGGGCGGTGGGGCGCC